TTTTTTTGAAATAAATCATTCTAATCCCGCCCATACTTTATTAATTTGTAGTTTTTAAATTTTATTTTCATATTGAAATGGTACTGTATTTTATTTCCATACTATAATTCCTCAGTGGTTCACTACTATTAATTTATTTAATTTAATTTAAAGACTTAAATGGTGTAACATTTAAATAAAAATGAAAACATACTTAAAATGGAATGAAAATATTGAGGCAAAATAATTAAACTACCATTTGTGTAATCAACATTCCATATATGAGTCTCATGTATGGGCGGGAAAACATTCATCTCTTTTTAAATAAAGTATTGATAATGATGCATAGTCAATATTGTTCTTGAGGTCGAAAGCTATAAAAGGTAGTAATGTATAATTTTTTTATAATTTTTGTTATTACCGGCCTTTAAATTTCATAAAAAGTAATACTAATTTTTTTCTTTGTAAAATATAATAATGTACCGTAATTGAAATTAAGAGAAAAAAATTTGTTGCCTCTATAAAAGGTAATAATGTTCCATCAAAATTGATATTATGGTCGAAAGCTTTAAAAGTAATAATGTACCATTTTTCCCATAGTTTTAGTTTATTACCTGCATTTTCATAAAAGGTAATGAAAATTTTTTTTTCTATAAAAAGTAATAACATACCGTATTACATCTATAAAAAGCAATAATGCATACCAGAGTGACAATTAAAAAGCTACTACATAATAATGTACAAAAACTTTCCATAATTAAATTATCGTATTTTTCCATAATAATGAACATCAATTCCACTTACCATTTCAAAGATATTTTAATTCTTACCATTTTCACACATCATTTGGGCGGGAAAACCCTGGGTGAAAATTTCCCTGCTTTTAAGTATAGTATAGATAGATTACATCGTAATCTTTTAATATAATATTTGAGAGTTGATAGCTTAGGGTTCTACTTAGATTACACGTCAGGGTCCACGCCGCAGCTTAAGAGGGGAAATAGCATATATCCTTCCCAGAACGAATTCTTCAGCTCTCTCGACTGTGAGCGGACTTCACAATTGGAAAGAAAACATACAAGGAAACTACAACCCTGATTCCTCGCTGCGTTAGATCTTCACGGAAGGAAAGAACATCCCTTTTACAGGTAAAAGATCCAGGATTATTCCAAATTACATATTGGATGTTTTTCCATTCATATATTCGTATACCCAGCGCAATTCTTCTCCAATTTTTTCCGGAAATTTCTTTCTGGAGGGGTTCGCAGCACTTGAGCTTCTCCGGAGGAATGAGGAGGCAAAAGGCAGCATTGTTGGGCATGGGTTTCGGAGAAGAAGAAGAAGGAGAAGTTGAGGTCTTGCGATGGAGGACCTTGTGGAAGGTCCGGGCAAGAGGGGTGCTCCGGTTGGGAGCTGGACTGGGTCGGATTAACCTCCAGATGATTTTTCAATTTTGTGGCCTGTAAGATCTATTTTCTAGATTGGATTCACAGAGTAATTTATTTGCTTAGAGCTTGATTTGGAGGAGCATTTGAATTTTCTAATCTTCATTCATTACGTGTGTATGAATTTTTAATCGTGCTCTGAAATCTGTTCTTTGAATTTAGATTACAGAGTAGTTTAGTTGCTAATAATGATTGGGAAGAACATTGAATTTTTCATTACGTTCAGAATTAACGTGTGGATTGACTCTTATTTTCTCCATCGTGCTTTGAAATCTATTTTCTGTAATTGATTTAATGCAGATGCTAAGCGCTTGATTGGGAGGAGATACAGCAATCCCTCCGTGCAGAGTGACATGAAGTTATGGCCATTCAGTGATTGCTGGACCTGGTGACAAGCCTATGATAGTTGTGACATACAAGGGCAAGGAGAAGCAGTTTTCTGCTGAGGAAATCTCTTCCATCATTCCATGGTCCTAACGAAGATGAAGGATGTTAGAGTACATCCCACATCGGAAAATCCAAGAGTAAAATAATCGGTATATAAGCTCTAGAGTTGAACTAACTAATCGATTGGATTCAATCTTTTAATGTGGTTTAACCCAAGTGTCTTATTGCCCAATCCAGTTATCCATACCCCATCCTAAATTCTATCATGGTATCGGAGCAGGTTTTGGCCCACCTCGTTTGTCAAGGTGTCCGTCTAGACGTTCATTCCTAGCGGCCCGTTTGTCTTTTGCCCAGTTGTCCGTGTGGAGTATGTATCCAACGACATGTGGCCCGTTTAACACGATTGCTCGTCTGGAAGTCCATACCCAGCGGCTCGTGGTCCTTTAGGTGTTGGCGCTCATAAAAAAAAAGTCAAGGGAATGGGAGTTCATTTGCAAGTGGTCAACCGGTTAGATTCAAAATGGCCCGGTTGTCCACTTGAGGGAGAGTGTTAGAGTACATCCCACATCGGAAAATCCAAGAGTAAAATAATCGGTATATAAGCTCTAGAGTTGAACTAACTAATCGATTGGATTCAATCTTTTAATGTGGTTCAACCCAAGTGTCTTATTACCCAATCCAGTTATCCATACCCCATCCTAAATTCTATCAAAGGAGATTCCAGAGGCTTATCTAGGAACCACGAAGATGGTGTTCATGGACAAACATGTAAGTCAAAGTCTCTTGGTTCACCATATTCATTCTCACTAATTATATTACGCCTATTATTAGATAATGTCTTGGATAGGTTTTTCCGTGTGGAACATGTTACTGGTATGCTGATACTGTGGTTTTATTTGTTGTGTGTGGATTAAAGTTTCATACTTCTGCAGTAATTGTCAATTGGAAAACAACCAATTTTGCACAAATTTAAAAATCTGTTTTTTTAATTTGATGTATGTTGTTAACTGAGCATCAGGGTTAAATGAAGTTAGAATCTGTTAGTATATGTTAGTATCTAAAATGTCAATATATTGTTTAAAGTTACAGATTCTCCTAGCATTCTTTAAAAGATGTATACTGATTTTACCTACTTACAAACTCTACAGTCAGACTCAATTGAACAATAATAACACAGTTGCTGCCTTTTTATACAAAAAAACTGACCAAATACTACGATGACATGCTTTAATATAGCAGTGATGTATCGATTACATCCTTTAATATAAAATTTGAGAGTTTGATGCTTAAAATGTTGACATGTGGCAATTTTAGTGTCCTTTTTTTTTGACAAGTAAGCCTGCACGTGTCTCTCCTTCCGCCTAATTACTTACTTGAATTATGATGAAAAAGCCATTTTGTAAATTTGTTTCATTTATCCTTCATCTTATACTCTGTATTAATTTAAAATTTAATTGTGCTTTTCTCTTTGTATAGGGAGATTAGTGGGCAGTGGACTTTGTTGGAGTATAGACTGGGTAGTATTAATTAAGTATGCCATCACCCCTGTGTTCAGTTAGCAAAAAGATTTGGAATTGTAGTAAGTATTGGTTAACACCACCTTTGATCAAATTCATTCAAATATTTATTTTAATAAATATGTTATATCCTGTTATATCTTGTTATCCTGTTATATTGTGTTCTCTACCATATTTTTTGTGCAGGTTGAGCCAGGGGTCTCTTGGAAACAGCCTCCCTACTTTCGAGTAGGGGCAAGTCTGTGTACACACACCCTCCCCAGACCCTACTGTAGTGGGATTCAACTGGGTTGTTGTTGTTATTTATTTTAATAAACTACTCCCACATTCAGATAGGGGATTGTTTTGGGTTGTTGTAGTACTCCCATATTTAGTAAAGGGCACTCCAATGTTTTTAATTTAGGAAAAATTACCCAAAATAATCCCAACTTTATCCTGTCTTTGAAAAATAATCCCACCTTTCACTGTGATGCATAATAATCCAAACTTTATTGAAATTTGCCGGTTTTGGGTCGCCATTAAGTTTCTAACGGAGGGTTAACGGAAATGCCCGTTTTAGGCAACAAAATGAAAGTTGGGATTATTTTTGATGAATTTTTGTTTTTTAATTTTTTTGAAATTTTTTTTTAAATTTTTTGAATTACTTTCAACCTCCATTTCTTTTTCTTTTTTAAAGATTATTCTTACCTTAGAAAAACAATAGATATAAAAAATAATGAAAATGAGAAAAATAACTAAAACCATACAAAATTAATCAAATAAATAATGTAATCAATAAGAAATGATATGTTAATACTTTGTATAATGCGTAAAATATTAAAACCCACCCGTATACTTTTATTTTACTTTTACCAATTTCAAGTTAGTTTCCATTGATTACCTTATTTATTTTATTATTTTTGTATCATTTTAGTTACATTTGTTATTTTTTTCATTTTTTATATTTATTATTTTTATTTTTTAAACTAAGACTAATCTTTAAAAAAGGAAAAAGAAATGATGATGGAGATAGAAAGTAATTCAAAAAATTTAAATGAAAAATTTAAAAAAATAAAAAAAAATAAAAATTCATCAAAAATAATCCCAACTTTCATTTTGTTGCCTAAAACAGGCATTTCCGTTAACCCTCCGTTAGAAACTTAACGGCGACCCAAAACTGGCAAATTTTAGTAAAGTTGGGATTATTATGCATCACAGTGAAAGGTGGGATTATTTTTGAAACACCGGCTAAAGTTGGGATTATTTTGGGTAATTTTTCTTTTAATTTATCCTACAACATAACAAACCATTTATTCTGTGTTTGACTTCTTTAAGGTGAAAAAATATATATGTGATCATATTACCAAATATGAAGGTAAAGTAAAAATGTTAACATCCTCTCACAATGCAATTTGAGGCACATTGTAAGCATATGAATTGTTAAATTTCTTCATACTATCAAGCAATGGTGTTCTCATACTGAGTCTTTTTTATTACATATTTTGATTTAGATTATTTAACTATTGGTAATTAAACAATTAAGACTACATGTTAGCATTCCCTGTATATGCCACTCTTAGTATTTTGACAAAAAAACAGACACTTTTTGAAGAAAAAGCTTTATGAACCCAATGGCAACCTCTTCAATCTCATTTACGGTTAGCTAGCTCTTGCTTCTACTTTTACTTCCTTTTCTTTTATTATTTGTTTTGTTTATGCTAGAATGTGTGTCCAAAAAAATAAAGAAAGAATCTTGAGTTAATAAGATTTTAGTGCCATTTGATCCTACCAAATCTGTTTTTTGATATTCATTAGACTAAAAATTGTTAGCTCAGATGAACTTTTGGGTGTTCCAGTCTATTGGATCGAGTGTTGTAGCATTGAGTAGCCTTTTCAAGGCTTTCTGATTGCGTTCAGTTCACTTTGTGGAGTGAATGCGAAGTATTCTGTTTGCTATTAAGTAGGGCTAGACTATGTTATTAATCCTTAACGGTTCATTTGGTAGTTGCATTGTGCTCTTGATTCAACACGCAGATGCATCATGTGGGTAGAATTTTAGAGGCAGTAAATCCTTCTTGGCTTCCATTTTTAATTAAAACTGAAAGAACAGACACATTTGGTATGGGCAAGGAGAGTATTATTGATTTTTTTGTATATAGAGTATTTTATTTATTTATGTTTGTATCAAATCTCTGATTAGTTAGATTTTATGGCAACTCTACAGTTATTTTAGACTGATAGCGTACTACAATAATCAGATGACATCCTCCTTTTTTCAACAGCAATATGAAAAAATCTCGCCAAAATGTTGTAGCAACCGTCCATGCACGATCTCCAATGCACAATCTCTAGACACTACAATCTCGCCACCAATTCTATTCATCTGTTTCTGTCAAATTGGAGAGCCACGTTCCCAGCCATGCAACACAGCCTTCTTTTTATCATTTTCAGAGAACTACATGTTACTTTCATCAAACAAATCACTTATATTACACCAACGCATGTTTAATGACAAATGTTTTTTAACCTTGACTTTGGATGCTACACTATTTGAGGAACAACCATTGGAGCATATGGTGATTGTGATTCAACAAGCTAGAGTAAATACGTTTCAATTCCAAGGTATGTGTAACGTAATGTAGTTTTGAACAAATCAACATTATTTGTTTAATGGAAATTTGATGTTAAGTCATTATTATTATCTATTATTCATTTCAAACTACCCCTTTTGTGATTTTGAGAAAATACTATTTTACAAAATGTAATGTACATTATCTGTTTGCTTTTAAATAAGGAAATAAAGGATGTAACTACATTTCAACAGATAATAGTGTATTCATGTCTCACTTTAACATATTGTATTGTATGAGTTTAGTATGACTCTATTTATATAGTGGCCACACTCAAACTAAGCACTAAATAACCATCATGCAGGACTCTTGGTGGGATGCATCAACTTCAACCTCTTAAGTTATCGTGTAATGATATTTCAAGTTCAAAACAAAAAGAATTCCTTGATACAGTCCAATCGAGAGTCGTTGCTACCAGGTATTCAGGTATTTCTGACATTTCTAAGAATTCTACATGCAATGTTTTTAGATGTATTTCATTTTATGCTTTTTGCATTAAATAGTTCGTCATATGCAGTATGTTATGTGGAGATTACATATATGTGAACTAATATATGATTATTATTAAAAAAAGATGGATCTTATGTAGTGTACGGAACTATTGTTGTAGTGAAGTGAACAATAACACTGATTAGTGGTATTTATCGTGCAAGTGCAATAGAGCTATTGAACCCGATGGTGCCATGTATTATTGCATGCATTGCTCATGTCATATATTGAATCTCAGCCAAGGTTCAACTATATATAGTCTCTGCTCCAAAATTTGTATTTACTCTCCTTGGTATAGCTTCCCTTTGGTATGTATTGAATTTTTTTTGGTAGGCATCTCATCAAGCTCTCTGTTAAAGATGATTATGATACAACTATGTTATTCTTAACTTACCGTATGACATCCTCCATTTGCTTACATTGTGTGCCCTGTTGATAGAGAAAACTGATGTTGTATGTACTTTTTATTCTAACTACATGATTAATCTAATACCACGAAATATTTTATTCATCATAATTTTTAGTTTGTTTGTTTGACTTTACCATGAAATATTTAATTGACTTATATAATGTAAAATATTAGGGAATAATTGCACAAAAGTGATAACTAAACTACCATTGTTCACTTTGATTTTTTAGTGTATTTTGATTAAATTTAATATTCAACATAATTATTATATACAGTATCTATTAATGTTTTTTCATTGATTTTAGATACTGAGTATCTTTTAATTAAATTAGTCTGACTAGGAATACACTCTTTAATAGTAGGAGGATATGTTAATAAAGTAAATTAAGGGTCCGTTTGGTATACGGAATTGGTAGAATTGGAATTAAAATGGAATTGAAATTCCTTGGGATTCAATTCTATAGAATTGAATTCATCAATTTCAATTCATTTTTTGCGCTACCAATTCCAAATCCACATAATTTTTGTGTTACCAAACATCAGAATTAGAATTGAAACACTCAATTCCAATTCCATAATTTGAATTCCGTGTACCAAACGAGGCTTTAGGATTTTGTTACATTTTAAAAATGTAAATTTGGTACGTATATATTCATCCCGCTTTTGTATCGAAATTGATCCTGAATCATACGAAACTGATATTTTGGGATCAAGACGACGCAAAATCCTATACCAAACTAAAATATTAGTACGATATCGATACATGTTAAATACGATGCCATATCATAACATGCTCACTTCTAGAGATTCCCACTAGAAATTTCATTTCAAACCAAAAGAAACTAAAAGTATATGAAAATTTTGCAGAATCCTAAAGATGGCAAGGCCTCATCTATTTTAAATACAACTATGTTTGTGTTATTTGTATACTAATGTAAAAAAAAGGATTCATATTAGAATGAAATTAATTTTGACAATCCGAAGAGTTTGATGACTCATTTAGTAAGATTTTATTACTAAGGATGGTGTATTTAATCTAGATTTTAAAAGATTTTATAATATTATTTAAAATCTGTAGATTATGTAAAATTCATGGATTGTTTTAATTCTACATCGACTTAGATAGATTTTATTATATTTTATTGGCAAGATTTTAAAAGATTGTTTTAGATTGTTTAAAATCCAAATAATAATGTGGAACAAAAAAAATTAACCGTGAAAAAGAAGGGAACAAAAATAAAAATAAAAAGCCAAAAATTGATCAAAAGAAATAAGTTTAGTGTGAAAAAAAATTGAACTATCAAAAATAAATTGAACAAAAAGCAAAAAAAATTAGGGTCAAATAACAATTGAACAAAAAAACAAAGAATTGAAAACAAACTAGAGGGCCGCAGATCCGATCCCTTAATCCCTTCGCCGCCCTGCAATTCTATTTGTGGCATACCTTTTGCGCGGGTATTCTTCTAGCGTACGAAATAGGAGGACGAAGATAAGAGATTCTAGAGGTGAACTCACTGCGTTGTATGATAGATTTGTAAATGGATTTCTATTTATACGATGAACCTTGAAATCCATCAAAATCTACATTTAATAGAAATTTTTGAAAATCTTTAGACTTTTTGAAAGAATTGTTTCAGAATCAAAATCCTTGTATTCCTTTCTGTGTTTTACAATTTACAATCCAGCCATATATATAGCAAAGAGTCCTAATTAACAAAGGAAAAGGAATCTCTATACAAGGCAACTACCATAACTTATATATACAGAAATAAATGCTAATAAATGCTAAATATTCTCTTTCCTCCTTTACACCCCCCTCAAGTTGGAGCATGTAATGCTGAAATGCCCAACTTGGGAATAAGAAACTCCATGCGTGACTTTCCAAGTGCCTTCGTGTGAATATCTGCAAGCTGATGCGTAGTAGGCACATGAAGGGCACGAATTTCTCCTCGTAAAAGCTCATCACGAACGAAATGACAATCAATCTCAATATGCTTCGTTCGTTCATGAAAAACCGGATTAACAGCAATATGAAGTGCTGCGGTGCTGTCACAACGTACGGTCATAGGAGTCCTATGATCAACCCCCAAGCATCTCAACAAATTTTTCAACCACTTCAGCTCACAGGTAAGAACAGCGAGAGCCCTGTACTCTGCCTCAGCAGACGAACGAGCCACCGTTGTCTGCTTCTTTGTCTTCCACGAAACCGGGGATTCCCCAAGTTGCACGAACCAGCCTGTCAACGATCGCCGGGTCAAAGGACATGCTGCCCAGTCTGAATCACACCATCCCGTAAGCTGAAGGCTACTATCTGCAGAGAGAAAAATGCCCTGTCCAGGACACCCTTTCAAGTAACGAACCACCCCAAGCGCCGCAGACCACTGATCCTCCCTTGGTTCTTTCAAAAACTGTGCCAAAGTATGTACGGCGTAGGAGAGCTCAGGTCGAGTAACAGAGAGATAGACCAATCTTCCTACTAGCCGTCGATACGGTTCTGGATCTGCAAGGACAGGAGCTTGGGAACGAGCCAAGTGATGATTTGGCTCTAAAGCGTACTTTCGTTGGCAGAGAAAAATTCCAGATGTATTTCGTGCTACCGCGATGCCAAGAAAGAACTTCAGAGTCCCCAAATCCTTCATCCGAAAACAATCTGCTAAATATTCCTTGAACTTGTGTATCATCTCAGTACTATCACCGCAATGATAAAATCATCTACATAGACTAGATCATGAATTACTCCTTTCTTTCCAACAAAAGAAAATAAAGAGTAATCGGAAACAGACTGCACAAATCCATATCGTCTCAATGCCCCAGACAATTTTGCAAACCAACATCTTGGAGCCTGTTTCAAGCCATACAAAGACTTCTAGAGTTTGCACACCATATTGGACGAACTCGAGAAACCAGGTGACAACCTCATATACACCTCATCCGGAAGATCTCCATGCAGGAATGCATTGTGAACATCCATCTGATGCAATTCCCATCCCTTAACTGCTGCGATTGCTAAAAGGGTGCGCACAGTGGTCAACTTGACCACATGAGCAAAAGTTTCTTTGTAGTCAATACCTTCAACCTGGTGATTACCAAGTATAACAAGCCGAGCCTTGTATCTCTCTATACTGCCATCAGACTTGCGCTTGATTTTATATACCCACTTGCATCCAAGAGCCTTTTTATGACGTGGAGGACGAACAAGAGACCATGTACCATTGGCTTCCAATGCATCAATTTCTTCTCGCATGGCCTTCCTCCAACGTTCATCCTGAAAAGGCCTGTTTGAAATTTTTAGGCTCTATTTCTTCATCAAGTGCTGCGAGAAAACACTTATGTTTGTCAGAAAATTTCGCATAAGTGACATATGAGGAGAGTGGATATCTGCACTTTTCTCCGATCTGTGGACCAGCCACATGCGTAACATAGTCCGCAAGCCTCACATTTGGGCGCCTTTCCCGCTGACCACGTCCCAAGGTCTCTGATGTGTTCTGGAGAGAGGACGGTCGACCGCCATCCGTGGAATGGTCCACGGGGTCGACCGTCTGTAATGGTTCCTGAGCGTCTTCTTTCTGCCGTAGAGACGGTCGACCGTTCTCCTCGTCACGGTCGACCGTTTCATCATCCCTCTGGAGGTTATCTTTCTGCCCTTCGGGCGGTCGACCGTGGTCATCAGGACGGTCCACCATGTCGACCGTTGGTTGCACTCCCAGAGGTCCATCTTTCTGCCTCTCGGATGGTCGACCGTGGACAGCGGGACGGTCCACCAGGTCTACCGTCTGTAGCTCACTTGCTTCACTGGTCTCCTCCGGTCGACCGTTCCTCGTGGAACGGTTCGGCTGCTCTTCCGCAGTCATGTCATCTTCATCGTCGAAGTGATCAACTGGAGAAGAAACACTTGCTCCATCTTCATTCAACATTTCACCTGTGGAAATCAAGTAGGGAAAAATGTTTTCACAGAACACAACATCTCGGGACACGCTTATTTTCCCAGTGTCCGGAAAATACACGCGCCATCCCTTCTTTCCTTGTGGATAGCCCAAAAATATTCCAGGAATACTTCTGGGTGCAAATTTATCTCCGTCCCTCTTCAGGTTGTGAACGTAAAATCTGCAACCAAAAATACGAATGTGAGTTAACGCAGGGGCCCTTCCATAGAGCTTTTCATACGGTGTAACCCCCCCTAGGAGAGACGAGGGAGTCTGGTTAATCAAATATGCCGCCGTTTGTATACATTCTCCCCAAAATTCTATCGGAAGACCCGCTTGAAATCTCAGAGCACGTCCCACATTCAGAATATGTCGATGCTTACGCTCCACCCTTCCATTTTGCTGTGGTGTAGACACACAAGATGTCTCACGAACGATTCCCTTCTCCAAAAAATATTCATTCAAGCACTCAAATTCTGTACCATTGTCACTTCTCACACATTTTATTCTCTTCCCAAATTGACATTCAACCATGGCACAAAATTGTTTAAAAACACTCCCTACAGTTCGTTTTGAATCAAGCAAATATACCCACACACCACGCGAGAAATCATCTACAATAGTCAAAAACAGTATAGAACCATCCAAACTTGGTGTCCGATAAGGACCCCACACATCACAATGCACCATATCAAACTTGTCCATAGATTGATGAAAACTGATAGGAAAACTGGCACGAGTTTGTTTAGCATGCAAACAGATATCACAATGACTATGACTACTTTTATTTGAACTAACTACAGGAACTAAGGATAAAATATGCGAAGAAGGATGTCCTAGACGTTTGTGCCAAAGGTCAAACACATTCTTCTTAGCAGCACTGCACGCCATGCTGCTCCCTTCCTTTTTTAGATAGTACAATCCTCCTTCATGTCTACCCACACCAATCGTTGTCCTCAAACTTAGGTCCTGTAAGATGCACAAATCATTGGTAAACTTTGCTTCACAGTTCATATCCCTTGTCAACTGTGACACAGAAATTAAATGGCAATTCAAGGTTGGAAAAAACAACACATTCTGCAAAGTCATAGTCATAGTCAAATCAACCTTTCCAAATTGAACAGACACAACTCGTTTCCCATCAGGCAATCCAATTTCACAAGGAGACACTCCCACAACATCATATAATAACGAAAGATCACATGTCATATGATTGGACGCACCAGTATCAATTATCCAACGAGGTGATACAGGGATACCTGAGAGTTTCTGTGAGTTATCTGTGGGGGGAGAGCGAGAGTGCATGACGAACAGCGTTCCACTGTTCAGGTGTCAGATCCTCAAAATTTAGGAGCGGGGATGGTCCTTTCTCTTCTCCTTGAACTGCATGGACTTCCCCTCATCCGCCCGTAACGGTCGACCGTCCAGCCGCCACAGTCGACCGTCCGCCACCTCATGCAGCACCACGACCCCTTCCCCGGCCGTTTCCTCTTCCTCTTCTAGCCTGATTGCGGTACACCCATCCCTCTGGGTACCCGATCAGCTTGTAGCACGCCTCAATATCATGTCCTGTTTTCCCACAATGTGAGCACATGAGCTCTTTGACCTCCATCTTTTCTTTACGGCAAACACGGATGCACCTGCTTCACTGCTTTCTCCTTTGTGCATGCCATGTCGTGGCGTCTCATCTTGGACAAGAATGTGTAGGATCGTTTTCTGGAACTTCACAGTGGGTCACCCATCCTGGGACTACTCCTGTTCCAGCACGCTTAACCACAGCGTTCTGAAGTTAAAGAGGTGCCAAATGCTTTCTAAAACCAATTGGTGATAGGAAAGTGAACACTTTGTATTTGACCACATCTCTTTGTAGCCCCAAGCCGAGGTAGATTCCTATAGGGCACCCCCTATAGTTCACTACGGCAGTGCGGAGCCCCACTACTGAGCGGTGGATGGACAGGAGGGGCTTCGCAAGATACACGACTCATGTACCTCGTCAAGTTGGGCTGTCAATACCCGATACCATGCTAAGCACAGTAGCGAATCCCTAAGGGTGATCGATGGTCCCCCATAAGACCAACAATCTCCCCCCCAGCCACAGAGTTCTGAAGTTAAAGAGGTGCCAAATGCTTTCTAAAACCAATTGGTGATAGGAAAGTGGACACTTTGTATTTAACCACATCTCTTTGTAGCCCCAAGCCGAGGTAGATTCCTATAGGGCACCCTCTATAGTTCACTACGGCAGTGCGGAGCCCCACTACTGAGCGGTGGATGGACAGGAGGGGCTTCGCAAGATACACGACTCATGTACCTCGTCAAGTTGGGCTGTCAATACCCGATACCATGCTAAGCACAGTAGCGAATCCCTAAGGGTGATCGATGGTCCCCCATAAGACCAACAATCTCCCCCCCAGCGACACCCGGGGGATTCGAGCCTGCTTCCTCGCTCCGATACCACTTGTAGGATCGTTTTCTAGAACTTTCCAGTGGGTCACCCATCCTGGGACTACTCCTATTCCAGCACGCTTAACCACAGAGTTCTGAAGTTAAAGAGGTGCCAAATGCTTCCTAAAACCAATTGGTGATAGGAAAGTGGACAC